TTTCTCTATTGCCCAGGCTGGAGTACAGTGGATGAATCTCGGATCACTGCAACCTCTGCCTCCCGGTTTTAAGCAATTCTCCTGCCTCAGCCTCGTGAATAGCTGGGACTACAGGCACGCACCACCACACCCTGCTAGTGAGAAACTGTAATTCTCATAGAGGCCTTCCCAGAGTAGATGAACATTTAAAGGCATTTCTGTATTTAGTCTTCTCAAAATTAAGGCTGGGCCCAGTGGCTCACACCAGCACTTTGGGAGGCCAAGGTAGGCAGATCACCTGATATCAGGAGTTCAAGACCAGCCTGGCCAACATGATGAAACTCCCATCTGTACTAAAAATACAAAAATTAGCCAGGTGTATTGGTATGTACCCATAGTCCCAGCTACTTGAGAGACAGAGGAAGGAGGATTATCTGAGCTTGGGAGGTAGAGGTTGTAGTGAGCCAAGATCACACCACTCCAGCCTGGGCAACAGAGCAAGACCCTGTTGGAAAGTGGAGAGGGAGAGGGGAATGAGCGAGAGAGATCAAGGGGAGGGAGGAAGGGAAGAGAAAAGAGAGAAAGGAAAGAAAAAAAAGAGAAAGAGAGAAGAAAGGGGGAGGGAAGGAAAGAAGGGAAGGAGGGAAAGGAAAGAAAAGCAAAAGAGGAAGAGAAGGAAGGAAAGAAAGAAAGGAAGAAAGAAAGGAAAGAAGAAAAGGAGAAAGAGGGGAGGGAGGAAGGAAGGAAAGGAAAGGTGGGAGGGAGGGAGAAAGGAAGGGAGGGGAGAGAAGGAGGGAAGGAAGAATGGAATGAAAGAAGGAGGGAGGGAAATGAAAGAAGGAAGGAAAGAAAGAAAGGGAAAAGAAAGGAAAGGAGGAAAGGGAAAGAAGGAGGGAGGGAAATGAGGAAAAGGAAGAAAAGAGGGGAGAGAGGGAAAGAAGAAAGGGAAAGGAGGAAGGGAAATGAAGGAAAGAAGGAACAAAGAAAGAAGGAAAGAAAGAAGAAATAAAAGGAGGGGTGGGAAGGACGGAAGGAAGAAAGGGAAAGAAGGAGGAGGGAGGGGAATGATGAAAGAGAAAGAAAAAGAGGGGGGGGGAGGGAAGGAAGAAAGGGAAAGAAGGAGGGAGGGTGGGAAACAAAGAAAGAAGAAAGAAAGAATTTAAAAACCCATAAGGTTAAAATAAACCCATTTTCTTTATACAGATTAAACACATGAGTTCAAATTACAGCTTTGCTTCTTAATAGCTTGGTGACCTAGGACAAATTATGTAAGCTCTCTGTTCCTCAGTTTCCTCATTTATGAAATAGGGCAATAATATCTACCACATAAGGTTATTGTGAGTATTAAATGTGAAGTACCGATCACGAATACCTGGCAGCCCAATAGATACTCACTGTAATAATTATTATTTTTACAATTTCTGCAAAAGTATGGTGATGATTCTTGGGTTAACCTAAAGGCAGATTTTCTTTTATTTCTTCCTGTTTATTTTCTTTTTTTCATTCAGTTTAAAGAATTAAAAAGAAAACAGATTCTAGCATTTTGGAATAAACATTTGTATCAAAATGAATTTATTCTTTTTATTGACATACAAACAAAATGTCATTTGTTTATTCAATAAACATTTATTAAATGCCTAGTAAATTTCAGACATCATGCCCAGCACAGGGATCGCAATGACATTAAGATGTAGTGTCTTTCCTCAAGGAGCTGATAGTCCAAGAGACTGACAGGTAGACAGGTGATTACATGCAGTGTAGCAAAGGCTGTGATGTGATACAAGAATACAAGTGGGAGCATGTGATAGGAGTATGGTTTTGACCAGCTCCTCCCCTTAGATTTATTCCTTTTTCTTTGGCTATAAAGCAAAAGAATTGGTTCTATTTTTTTTTTTCTTTACTGTGCAAATTAAACCATAAATTTTAAACTTATAAAAGATAAGACAAGTGGCCAGGCGCAGTGGCAATCCTAGCACTTTCGAAGGCTGAGGTGTGTGGATTACCTGAGGTCAGGAGTTCGAGACCAGCTTGGTCCACATGGTGAAACCCTGTCTCTACTAAAAATACAAAAATTAGCTGGGCATGGTGGCGGGCGCCTATAATCCCAGCTACTCAGGAGGCTGAGGCAGGAGGATCACTTGAACGTGGGAGGCAGAGGTTGCAGTGGGCTGAGATCCAGCCATTGCTCTCCAGTGAGGGTGACAGAGCAAGACTCCATCTCAAAAAAAACAAAACAAAAAAACAAGCAACTTGAATTATGGAGGACACTAGAAACAGTGTTTCCTACAGAGTCAGGGCTTCCTACTAGCATAGTCACTTCTGGGGTTTTTGACCTGAAAGTTCTGTGGCATATTTTTTCTTTGTTTTCCACTTTTTGTTTTTTCTATTTTTCCCCTCTTTCTGTCCTCTGCTTTATCTTCTAGAGACCTAGGTAGTCCCCAGAGGAATAGTGCTTTATGGAGTCTAATGGTGATTTATTGGGTAAAAACAGAAAACGATTTTTTTTACCTGCAAGTTCCATACCAAGAAATGAATATAAGCTTTTCATGCAGTTTCACACATTGAAAATGCAGGTAATTTTAATTCCTTGCTCTTTTCAGAATTCTCAATCGCAATCCTCTGACAAGTGTTGAAGATCCATATTTGTTTAAGTTGCCAGCATTAAAATATCTGTAAGTATTACAGTACTCTCATGAGTCATGAGATGATTTATGCTCTTTTTAAGTTTTTCATCAATGATTAAGTATTTTGCATTTAGGCTAAAAAGTTATAATTTAAATTTAATTGGGTTATTGAAAAAAGTTTTTTGGCAAGGGAAGGGTTTAGGAAGGGTTTTTTATTGTTCGGGCCGTCCGGCGGGGGAGGGGGCCGTTTTTGAGGACCCATATAGATTTGGAACATGCAGACACATGGAGGAATATTACTTAACTAAGAAAGGAAGGAGGAATAGGTGTTCATTATTCTAAAAAGGAAGAAAAGAGTAAATAATCAAGATGAGTGAATCCAATATGAAAATGAGAAGTAAGATAATGGTAAAAAAACAAAAAATACACAGCTAACTACAATCACCATGTCAAGTAAGAAGATAAATAAATAAATAAATAAATATAAATAAGTACAAGTTTTACTCTTGAATATCATTAATTTGATGATGCAAATCAACTTAAATTTCTTTAATAAGAGCTCTCTGGAATTCTGCAGCAAATGAACTCTTGAGTTGGCTTGTTTTATCGAAAAGCCAAAATCGAAGTAATCACATGTCCTTGAAATATCTTTTTTAAGTACAGAATTTTTGTATTGGCGTTTATATCACAAATGTTTCGGTTTTCCTCTTCAGAGACATGGGAACAACACGAATCACACTTACAACAGTTAAGAACATCCTCATGATGACTCTTGAATTGGAAAAACTGTAAGTTAGTTTTTTCTTAGATTTATGTTCACTTAATTGGTTCTTTAGGTTTGTTTTAGTATTTTCTTAAGTCAGATTTAGCGAGATATAATTTTGTTATTTTCATATAACAAAATTCACCCTTTTTAAGTGTCCAGTTCGATGAGTTTTGACAAATGTATATTGACATAACCACCACCACATTCCCAATATAAAGCATTTCTGTCAACTCAAAAAGGCCCCTCGTGTCCCTTTGTAGTCAATCCCTTCCTCCCACCGTCAGCCCCTGTTAGCTACTAATCTGATTTCTGTTCCTATAGATTTGCCTTTTCCAGAATGTCTTATAAATGAAATCATATAGCATGTAGCCTCTTGTATCTGGCTTCTTTTACTTAGCATAATTTTTTTTTGAGACAGAGTTTCACTCTGTCACCCAGGCTGCAGTGCAGCCACATGACCTCAGCTCACTGCAACCTCTACCTCCCAAGTTCAAGCAATTCTCCTGCCTCAGCCTCCCGACTAGCTGGCTGAGATTACAGGCACCTGCCACCATCCCTGACTAATTTTTCGTATTTTTAGTAGAGACCAGGTTTCACCATGTTGGCCAGGCTGATTTCGAATACCCGACCTCAAGCGATCCACCCACCTCGGCCTTCCAATCTTCTGGGATTACAGGCTTGAGGCACCGTGCCTGGACTCACTTAGCATAATTTTTTTTGAGATTATGCTACCGTCCATGTTGTTGCACCTATCAGTACAGCTGGCCCTCCATATCTGCAGGTTCTTCATCCATGGATTCAACTAACCATGGATGGAGAGTATTTGGAAAAAGTAAAACATATGAAATAATAAAAACAGTAGAAAACTTAAAATACGGTATAATTATTTACATACCATTTATACTGTATTAGGTATTTAAAGTATACCCAAGTGTAGGGCTAAGGGCCACACAGGGTCGTGGCATGAGCCTTATGCTGTGCTGAGGCACAGGATCTGAGAAATAAAGAGACAGGACACAGAAGTATAAGGAAAACGCAGCTGGGCTCAGGGGGCCACGCCATCTATAAGCAGAGTCAAGCGAGGCCCCGAATGTCCAGAAGCATGAGTATTTATTGTTTATAGGTTAGGGGGCAGGGCAGTGAGTGAAATCATCTTTAAGGATAGTGATAGGAGGCCGGGCGCGGTGGCTCAAGCCTGTAATCCCAGCACTTTGGGAGGCCGAGGCGGGTAGATCACGAGGTCAAGAGATCAAGACCATCCTGGTCAACATGGTGAAACCCCGTCTCTACTAAAAATACAAAAAATTAGCTGGGCATGGTGGTTCGTGCCTGTAATTCCAGCTACTCAGGAGGCTGAGGCAGGAGAATTGCCTGAACCCAGGAGGCGGAGGTTGCGGTGAGCCGAGATCGCGCCATTACAAACTAGCCTGGGCGAAAGAGCGAAACTCCGTCTCAAAAAAAAAAAAAAAAAAAAGGATAGTGATAGGGTCATGAGCAATAAAACATGGGGTCCACCCCCATTAGGTCACCTAGGCCAGGAGATGGACAGTGCACAACAAGGGGCCCGTTCCCATGAAGGCAAGGGCTGTGTGCAGTAAGGGGTCCACCCCCATTAGGTCACTGAGGCTTGAAGGTGGGCCGTGCGCAGTGAAGAGGGTGCAGTGTGCAATACTTCTATCTATGGGCAAACTACTTCTAAGATGATTTATAGGAGGATGCTTTAAGTCACATAGCAGCGACAGAGCTGTCAAGGTTACCGCCACCTCCTGGCAGCTCCAGTGGGTTCTATGGGAAGATGCTTTTCGAGCAGCACAGTAGCAAGAGCTGATAAAGTTGCCAGTCACCAAGGTGGATTGCCGTTCTGAGGGCAGCCTTCCACAAGAACTGGAGCAAGGTCCTACAACTCCGTTATCAGGATTAGTGGCTCTTGCCCCAAGCCTGCCATACAGCGGGTATCCTTACGATACTGAACGCTGCTGCCTGGGCCATGGATTCTTGTCCTGGTATAACTGTTTTCCCTTAAATCATGCTCTGCACTGTGTCTGCTCTAGGCATTCCTCTGATTATAAGCTGTTTATTCCTTAATTCATGCTCTGTACTGTGTCCACTCTAGGTGTTCCTCCAATTATGAACTAAGATATAATTATAGGTATATACGTAGGGAAATATTCCTTAGACACTCATACTATCAACTATTATATGATTATATATAGAGGATTATATAAAGGGATTCTTCAAGCCCTATTTCTATAAACTAATATATGCTTATGTAAAGGATTATATAAAATGAAATAGCTGAGTAGTAACACTATAAAGTGAGATATTCCTCAAGCCCTAACTGTGCCAGGATTCTGCTTAGCTCTCATTCCTCGGTGCCTATATAGGGGGTTGTCCACACCCAAGGCTATATACAAATACTATGTTATTTCATATAAAAGACTTCAGCCTCTGTGGACTTTGGTATCTATCTGCAGGGGGTCCTGGAGCCAATCCCCTGCAGACACCAAGGGACAACTGTTCACTCCTTTTCATTGCTCAGTAGTATTCCAGTTGTGTGGGTGTATCCATTTGTTTATCCATTCATCAATGTATGGACATTTGGGTTGTTTTCAATTTTTTGGCAATTATGAATAAAACTGCTAAAAACACTCATATACAGGTCTTTGTGTGTGAACCTATGTTTTCATTTGTTTTGGGTAAATACCTAGGAGTTGGATTGTTCACATGCTAAGTGCATATTTAACTTTGTAAGAAACTGCTAAACTGTTTCCAAAAGTGTCTGTGCCTTTTTACATTTCCACCAGCGTCGTGTGAGTGTTGCAGTTGTTCCATAACTTTAGCAGATTCTTTTTTTTTTCTTCGACACAGTCTTGCTCTATCCCCAGGCTAGAGTGCAGAGGCATTATCTCGGCTCACTGCAGCCTCCACCTCCTGAGTTCAAACAATTCTCCTGCCCCAGCCGTCCAAGTGGCGGTAGGCACCCGCCACCACACCCAGCTAATTTTTGTATTTTTAGTAGAGATGAAGTTTCAGCATATTGGCCAGACTGGTCTTGAACTTCTGACTTCAAGTGATACACCCGCCTTGGCCTCCCAAAGTGCTGGGTGGTGTGAGCCACCGTGCCCAGCCCAGCCGATTCTTTTTATTTATTTAATTTTTTAATTGCCAAAGCAGGAGTGCAGCTGCACAATCTCAGCTCGCTGCAAGGTCCGCCTCCCCAGGTTCAAAGGATTCTCCTCCCTCAGCCTCCTGAGTAACTGGGATTACACGTGCCCACCACCATGCCCAGCTAATATTTGTATTTTTAGTAGTGACAGGATTTCCGCTTATTGGCCAGGCTGGTCTCAAACTCCAGGCCTCACATGATCCACCCACCTTGTCCTCCCAAAGTGCTGGGATTACATGCATGAGCCACCACGCCTGGCCCGGCCCAGCAGATTCTTATATTTCAGTTTTTAAAGAAATGTTTGCCCTTCTACTGCTAGATGTGTAGTGGAATCTCATTGTGGTTTTAATTTGCATTTCTTTAATAGCTAGTGATGTTGAATGTCTGTTCATGTGCAAATATCTTCTTTAGTAAATTGTTCAAATCCTCATGTTTTAATTGAGTGTTAATCTTTTTATTAATGAGGTTTTTCCCCTGTAATCCCATGAGAGATTATTTATTATTGAGTTTTAAGAGTGCTTTATAGATTCTAGATACAAGTCCTTTCAGGGACCAGGTGCAGTGGCTCACGCCTATAATCCCAGCACATTGGGAGGCTGAGGCAGGAGGATTGCTTGAGGCCAGGTGTTTGAGACCACCTGGGCAATGTGGTGAAACCTCGTCTCTATAAAAACTATAGTTCTATAAAAACCTATGAAAACAATCCAGGTGTGGTGGTACATACCTGTGGTCCCAGCACTTTGGGATTGCTTGAGCCTGGGAGGTTGAGGCTGAAGTGAGCCATGATCACCGCTGCACACCAGCCTGGATCACAGAGTGAGATGCTATATCAACAATTAAATAAGTAAATAAATTAAAAAACAAAAACAAGGCCTTTTAGATATGTGTTTAGTAAATATCTTCTCTCAGATTGTGGTTTGTCTTTTCATTCTGTTAAAAGTATTCTCTGGCTGGGCACAGTGACTCACGCCTTTAATCCCAGCACTTTGGGAGGCCAAGACGGGTGGATCACCTGAGGTCAGGAGTTCGAGACCAGCCTGGCCAACATGGCAAAATCCCATCTCTACTAAAAACACACAAATTAGTGGTGGCTGGCGCCTGTAATCCCAGCTACTCAGGAGACTGAGGCATGAGAAATGCTTGAACCTGAGAGCTGGAGGTTGCAGTGAACCGAGATTGCACCACTTCATTCCAGCCTGGGCAACAGAGTGAGACTCTGTCTCAAAATAAAAAATAAACAATAAAAATAAAAGTGTTTTCTGAAGAGCAGAAGTTTTTAATTTTTATAAGCTTTAAGTTAGCAATTTTTTCTTATATGGCTTGTGCTTTTTTGTTTCT